ACTCCAGGCGGGCACGCGGGCGCCCCCAGAGTCTCCCCCCCGCCCCCCCGCGCGCCCCGAAGCGGCGTCAAAACAGGAAGGCGGCATGCCGAGCGCATCGGCCTGCTATTTGAACTTCCCCCCGATGGCCAATCATTGCCCAGTCGATAGCCCAACCGATATCACCAGATCTCTCGGCCGAGACACCCGACACCCCCATCCGATCTCCAAGCGCCCCCCCCCCCCCCCCCCCCCCCCCCCACCCCCCCACCCCCCCCCCCCCCCCCCCCCTCCGACATCCGACGAGCCCCGAACTTGTCGTCAGATTGCCCCGATCGGATACAACGGAAGCGAACCAACAGCCGCGGGAAAACCAACGCATCCACCATCATATGCGCCTTCCGATTTTGCGCACGAGGAGCCAGCCGATGCTCGGGCGTCCATCGGGCCACCAGGCGATATCCGACACGTGCGAACCTACGCCGAGAAAGCTCAAAGTTCCTACCTACAGCCCCACAGCGGTATCCCACGGGCCTCGAGCCGATATCCCAGATGGCACCGTGTGGCATTTTTTTGTTTTTTGGGGGGGGGTGGGGGGGGGCACCTGAACGCGCGCGCGCCATCGCAGGACAGCTCGGGCCCCGCGGCCAGCCCAAATGGCGAGCGTGCATCGGGCGCGGCGCCGCCCGCATGCCGATGTACAGCCAGTCTGGGCACCGTCAGCGAAGTCGTCGTCGCCCCGAGTGCCGACGCGGTGGCGGTGCTGCTCCTCGGCGTCGTCGCCATCGGCTGCGCCATGGGTTGCGCCTTGAACCGCCGAAGATGCAACTGCTTCAGACTTGTTTCGCCATGATTTACACCCTCGGCCGACGAGGCTTAAACGCCCCCGACCCCAGTGGTTGCTCCACATGTTTGCGCCATCGGCCGCCGAGGCTTAAACGTCCTCTTGTTGATTGGGCCGCGGGTTGCGCCCTCGGCCGCCGAGAATCAAACGTCCTCCGAGTGATTGCGCCATATGTTGCGCCCTCGGCCGCCGAGAACAAAACGCCCATCGAGCGGTTGCGCCATGCGCTGCGCCATCGGCAGCCGAGAATCAAACGCCCTCTTGGTTGCGCCATAGGTTGCGCTTTCGGCCGCGGGAGATGAAGCGCAGGGGTTGGGCCATCGGCCGCGCTTTCGGCCGCCGAGGAGAATGGCGCCCCCATTGGTTGCGCCGTCGGTTGCGCCCGCGGCCGCCGAGAAAACCAACGCCCTCGTGTTGGTTGCGCCCTTGGCCGCCGATATGAAACCCTCCCCCCCCGCCCACCCTTCACACACCACCCCATTGGTTGCGCCCAAGGTTGCGCGCGCGGAAGCCGAGAATACCATGTCCTCCTATTTGTTGCACCATAGGTTGTGCCTTCGACAGCAGAGGACAACGCCCTCCCACGTGGTTGCGACATAGGTTGCGTCCTCGGCCGCCAAGAATTAAACGTCCTCCTAAGGTTGTGCCATAGGTTGTGCCCTCGGCCGCCGAGAGTTCAACGCCCCCCTTGGGTTGCGCCATAGGTTGCGCCCTCGGCCGCGGATACTTAAACGTCATCCGATTGGCTGCGCCATAGGTTGCGCCCTCGGCCGCGGATACCTCAACGTCCTCCGATTGGTTGCGCCCTCGGTCGCCGAAAGTGAAACGCACCCCCCTTATTGGGTGCGCCATAATTGGCGTTCTCGGCCGCCGAGAATAAAACGCCCCCTAACCGATGCGACCCGTCAGTTCAGTCAGTTCGGTTGGGTCGGTGCAGTCCGTTTACTTGGCGAGAAACAAATTCGGGCTACGCCCATACTTACAAGCATGCCCAGGCAGATGCCCCAATGGTTGGAAACTTGTGTCCCAATGGGCCGCCAACCGATAGCCAACCCACAGGAAAACACGCCAACGCCATCAACTGCGCCCAATGGGGGCCCACGCCGATGTCCGACGTGTCCCAGGCTGACATCGCGCAAAATACGGCCCGTGCCCAAGCCGATACGCATACAAGGCCGAGTTAACTAATGTGCGCGATTGTCCTAACTCAAAGTAACTTACGACGGAACTATCGGAATCATTTTTGCGATGGGTCCAATCACCTCAACTTAATGTATGGTCGGGTTATCGGGGGCCGAATGGCTCACTTCCGACTGAACACGGAGGGGCCCGAACGACTCACCCCCCACCTAACACTGAGGGGGCCGGGCGACTCGCGCCCGACCAGGCACGGAGGGGGCTGAACGCGCAATGTTCCTTTAGCAGCCCGCTTGCCCACCCCCCCCGTTCAGGTCCGCAATTGTGGGGACGCGTAAATGTCATGCAACGCGCAAGATGTTTGGGGCCCCATTCAACTGGAACTGTCTGGGACCGAACTGAACTAAAACTAAACGGGTGCATTTGAGGTTCAGTTAACATGAGTGGGCATTCCGTGGCCTCAGCGGCTCTCGATGTTCGTTGTTTTTTTTTAAGCGAACCTGCCCATTGCCTTGCGCAAGGCGCAGGACGGCAATCGTGTGCCGTCACACAGCGGACCGCTGCAGCGTCGCAGCCTCATGATTTCTCGTATCTAGCGGGGTGGGGCGGGGTGGAGTGGACCCGTCACCCCGCGCCGCACACTGGGGACATTAGGCTAGGATGGATAGTCATGGGGGGGGAACGGGTGGATCCATTCATCGTCGGTGCAGTGCGTGGCCACCAGAGCAGGTTGCAATGCGAGCGCGGCTTCGCCGCTCGACTTCGGTTCTTTGAGGCAACGCGTCCAGGCGGCGCTCAAGGCCAGCGCGGCGACTCTGGCTTCGCTGGCAGGGCCGACCCTCATGGTCGCGGCCCGCCTCAGCAGTCGGTCTGCCACGACTGCGCCCGCCGTTTCCAGCGAGAGGGCGCAGCTCAGCAGAGGCGGGTTACCCGCGACTGCTGGGCGAGGCGCCTTCATCAGTCAGCGCATCGTTTGGATGCGCGGGGGATCGGACCAATGCCTTGCGTTTTCTCGGTCCGAGCCCTGTGGGCGCCGCAGCAGGCGACGCCCCGCCTCGGGGCGGCGGCGCGCCAGACGAGCGCGGAGACGGCGCCGCCTGATTGCTGGCGGGCTCTCTGGTCTTGAAAAGAACAAACAACGGTGTGCCCTAACAGCAATAGCAAAGCAACCACAGCATAGCAGCACTACAAATCACAAGAACAATGCAATAACAATAACAATAACCAGAACGAGTCAGGGGATTAGTTAAGAACAAGACCGCTAGTAACAACAATAATCACAACAATGTCTGTGCAGACTCTCTCCTGTGCCCCCTCCTCTCTGACCCCCGCCATGGGGCCCCTCGTGCGCCCCAGCATCTGTTGCGATTCATGTTTGCAGCGTCGTTGCCCCAAGTGGGTCGGGTAGCTGGGGGTTTCGATTCGACGGTGCGTCCCAGAGATACGCACCTGCAATCTGAGAGTGTTGCCAGGGGGCAGTACTACCTTACGAGTTATCGTCATGGCCCCGTGGGCTGGGCTTGGGCGCGGTGGACCGATCGCGGTAGCGACGAGGCCGCTTGTCTTTGAGGCCTCGCGGGGCCGTCTTAGGGTAGAGGGAGCGAGAGGGGGAGGTGCGAGGAGGGGGAGGCGCAGGACGGGGGGGGGACTGGCAAGGGCATGTGGAGGAGAGGGGAGGGATGAAGAGCTTCGCAGACGCTCCCATGGGGGCTCTCCTAGCGTCGATCCCTGCACCAGCGCGCCAGCTGCAAGCACTGTATGGGAATGTGGCGGCCTGCGTGCGGGCATGCGTGCAACCATATGCCATATGTGGAGGCATTGCTCGGTCGGGAAACCATGCCTCAGTGCAAGCGCTGTTTGCGGTGAGCCAGGGCGCGGGGGCAGGCTAAGTGCAAGTTGCAAGCGTCGTTCGGAGGCCAACATGCATGCATGCGTGCAGGCACTGTTCGGGGAATAGCGCGTTCCCCACCCCCCACCCTGGCCGACTGGTAGCAGCGGGGCGGGGGTAGCGCAGGCGCGAGCGATGAGGGCAATCGCGGCAGAAATGTTTGGCCGTCTTCGCCCCGCCCCCTCACTATGCAACATCAATCTCCCCCCTCCGCCTCCGCGTGGCCTGCGCCTCGGCGGATGCCGGATCGCGCCCCCCGCGGGCCCGTTCCCCGAAGGGGTCAGCCCTGCCCCGAGGCCCCGACGTCGGAGGGGCAGAGCGCGCCTCCCCTTTCTATCTGATCTCGGGCCCAGCCCCGACCTCGCCGTTGCCATTTAGGCTCAATTCGCCGAGGCTGGCAGGGCGTGGCGGCCCATCTGTTGCGAGGTGCGTTTGCGCCATCCGACTTTCAGACATCGGGCTTTCGGGCTCGCGAGCAGGCGCCATGCAGGCGGCCATGGACAAGAACGAGTACAACAGGGTGATGGTTGCCGTGTCCGACAGCAACGACTTCGACATGGCGAGCTCCCCTCGGGGCGCTGTGGGCCCCGTCGCCGCGGGCTCCTCGCAGGCTGAGCTCGGCGGCCACGGCGGAGCCGCGGACCCGCCGCCCGTCGACTCCCAGGGCCCGCCAGGCTCGGCGGATGGCCCCGCGCCCGCGGCCCCGCCGCTGCAGCCCAGGGCGAAGGCCGCGCCGCGCAACTACGGCAAGCTCTTGGCGCAGGAGCTGGCCCAGAAGCTCGGCGTGCACAACTCAGTGGCAGCGGGGATGATCGACGAGCTGCCGAGTGCCGTGGCGAGGGTCCTGCAGGCCAGCCACGGCAAGGTCATCCTCCCGAACTTCCTCACCATCAACATGGTGGAGCAGTCAATTGGCGCCACCAGCAAGGACGAGGCGAAGGTCCTCAAGTCCAGCGCCAAGGCGATGAAGGTGCACAGTGACAACGTCCGCCTGGTGAAGCCCGAGGTCACTTTCAAGGCCCAGTGGGTGAGGAAGGTTCTGAAGACGAAGGACGTGACGCCGACGGTGATCAACCTCCCGAACGGCGTGCTCCGCCCTGACATGGACATAGCGCCGTGCACGCCTGTGTCCAGGGCCTGGCTCGGACTCCCGCTGCAGAGCCCGTCGCTCCCTGCTTCCTCCGTGCTGAGCGATGCGGACGTGCCGAGTGGGCAGTCCTCGCCATCGATTATCTCCGCAGTCAGTTCCAGCTGAGTTTGGCCAGCTTGCAAGTCGCAGCTAAGCTAATAGGCCTTCGGGGGCGCCCAGCCAGCAACTCTCGCCATCGCGCACCACGTGCGATTTCCGAAGAGGCCTCTCCTCGCAGCCGCATCGCATCGGCTGTTTTAGTATATTCGGCGCGGGCTGCTGGCTTCTAGTTTTTCTTGGCCGCAGCTCAAGTGAATATCCGCTGCAGTTTGGCAGCTGGCCCGCCATGGATCGGCTGGCATCGGCTTGCACTCGGGGCTCGAACGTTCGAAAATCCAAACCTGTGTGGCTCCTCATCGTTTATTCCTTTAGCCACCCTCCAGGCCCTTCATACTTGGCCATACTTCCCTCCGCGCCAACATGTCTATCACTCTTTCCACTCCGCCTCCTATTTCGATGCTGTGCTAGCCGCAATTCGGGGACGCTCGACGCACCTCCAGCCCCCTCATCCTTCTTCATGGGCACAGAATTCAGACACTGCACACACACACACGCACACACGCGCACACGCTAACACGCGCACGCACACGCTCGCACGCACACACATGCCTGGATCGGGGAAGTGGATGGGGACTGGGGATCTCTTGGGGCCATCTTGGGACCCTCTTGGGGCCATCTTGGGGCCATATTGGGGATCTCTTGGGGATCTCTTGGGGTCATCTTGGGCCGTCTTGGGGCCCTCTCGGGCCATCTTGGGACCCTCTTGGATTGGTGGCCTCATGGGCCGTCATGGTACCATCTTGGGGGTCATGTGGGCCGTCTTGGGTTGAGGCTTCCGTCAAAACCATATTGCTGTTGACGAGTCGCTTAAACCTAAGACTTCGACTCGTCGGCCCCAGGAGGCCATCAGCGATAGTATGTGCAATTGTTGTGCCGCCGTTTTGTATCAGCATTGCGGCAAGTGGCCGTGCTGTCTTGAGATGCCATTGCCCACGGTCAGTTTACGAACCTGCGCTTTTTGCTTTCTCCTCAGTCTGTGTCTCGCCATGTCATCGAGGCGGGGCGCCAAGCCGCCGCGCTTGACACCTGGGGCGCTGGCTGCGCACGCGGCAGCACACACCCCCGCCCAGAAGACGATTACGAAGGTGTCGACTGCGCCGTCTGCCTCCAAGGCAGTCAGCCTGGCAGGCGCGTCCACCGCGGCAGGAGATGGGGCCACCAGGAGGCGAGGTCCCAATAAGAAGGTCAGTTGCTCCAGGAACGCGTGCAAGGAGGTGATGCTCAGTGGCAAGGCTGCCTGCGCCGAGTGCCATGCCACCTTTGCGTGGGGCAACTTCGACGGCGAGGGGGCGCTCGAGGAGGTCATTCAGAAATGCAACACAGAGCCGTCCAGCGATCAGCTGTTCAGTAAGGTCAACACCATCAGGATCCAGAAGCACCTCGGTGAGAAGACGATGGAGACTGAGCAGGTAGTTGGACAGGAATCGCACAAGCTCAGAATCATCGAGACTTGGGATGGCCACCTGAAGTCGACCATCGAATCCGAGTCGGGGAAGAGCTTCAAGGAGCTGAAGCTGACGCAGACGCTGCTGCCTTCTGCTGACCTGCGGGCCGCGCACCCAGGGGCACTGACCAAGGTCAAGGGCGTCAGATACGAGCTGGTGAAAGAGCACATCGTCTCGAAAGACACGTTCAATATGCTCCACTCGAGCCAGATGCGCAAGCAACAGGGCGCCAACGCTTTCAAGAGGGCCAAGCAGCAGTGGACTTCTGCGTTCGTCAGGAGGCTGCGGAACACGACCATCACCAAGCTCGACTTGGGGGGTGATGACGTTCCGCCAGACGACGGCGACGGCGGCCCTGCAGACGATGATTTGGACGCAGAAGGTGAGGAGGGAGAAGAGGAGGATGACCCAGATGCGGCTGACCCTTGCATTGATGAGGCTGCGGGCAATCCTGCGCCCACGCTTGCAGCACCGTCTGCCGCGGGCGCTGCTGCTTCCTCGGCGCCGCGGTATCCGCAGCCATCCCCGCCCAGGTCCATCAAGGCTGCCTCCGCCGTCGGGGCGTCGGTTCGGAGCCCTGCTCCGAAGAGGTCGCCTTCTGGCGGCATGTCTGTCCTGCAACGCGTGCCGCAGGACGGCAAGTACGAGTACTACGGGGTCACGTGGGGCACGAACGATGCCGAGGAGAAGGCAGCGCTCGAGAAGCTGGTGAAGTGCGACCCCATCGAGGCCTTGATGGACCAGTGCACGAAGGCCAGCGAGAGGTGGGCCAGGGAGTTGCACAAAAAACGGGCTGACGCTGACCCCAGCGACTCGATTGCCACTCACATCCAGAAGCACTTCGCGTTGATGGCGCGGTGCAGGGCCGTCTCCCTCAACAGCCTCCCGTGCTACGGCAATCGGGAGGAGCGCATCCAGGACATCGAGGCAGTGGTCAAGGCGAAGGTCGAGTTCCCGATCGAGTGGCAGGTCGCAGTTGCTTTTCGCGCGCTGGAAGACATCACCCAGTCGAGCTCCATGTTGGCACATATCAAGGAAGCCATGGTCATCGCGTCGTTCGTTCCAGCCGATTTCTCCGCCACGTTTGAGTTCGACCCCCTGCAGCCCGAGATGCATGCGATCGTCGGTTCACCCGATGAGGTTGTGTCTCGCTGGCGGGGCGCGTTCAGCAGGATCCTGAAGGCGTTGGTCAGGCTTGCAGAGGGGAAGCCGAACTCACAGGCAGTCGCCGCGGCCATCCAGCTAGAGGATATTCTCACCGACCTCGACGTCGACTCTGACCCCTCGTACCACAGCTGCCTCCAGGAGTCCCTCAAGCCACTCAGGTGCCTCATCTGTGTCTTCGACTGTTCGCACTTAGAGTTTTACGACGACGTGGCCGACACGCTGAGGGCTGCGAAGGCGGGTGGCCTCGCGGTCAACGATACGAGGCGCGCCGTGATCGACGCTATGGATAAGCTCCCCGCCTGCACCGCCAAGCTCGAAGAGATCAAGAAGAGTTCCAGGGCGGCCCAGCAGCACTCCGAGCGCATTATGACGATGTGTGAGGCCATTGTAGACGAGACAAAGACCCACCCGCCGCAGCAGCTTCATAAGTGGCTGGACATGCTGATGAAGGCGAAGATCGAGATCGGCATCCCTGATGCGACGGCGCATGCCTTCAACACGTTCGGCACGGCCCTGGAACGGCACCTTTCCGAGGGCAGCGTGCGGCACATCCTTTCGGGCGACGTCGGATGCATCGCAGTCGCTGGGCAGCTCATGGAGTTCCTGCGGGCCGCGTGTCCGCACTTCCCTGGGCACAGTGGTGTCATTACGAAGGCGATGGAGCTAGGAAGTGCGTTCCTCGAGCAAGCCAGTAAGACTGCGATCGCCGACGCAGCTGCCGATGCATTCGGCAACTTGTCGAGGGCGTCCCAAGGCGAGGTGGAGTTCAAGCCGATCATCGACCAGACGGCTGCGGCCATCAACGACTTCGTCAACTCGCAGCTCACCATCAACGATGACCAGGCCTCGGACGCGGTGCGGGGCATCAAGTGTCTGAATGATGCGAGGTTGGCGCATTACCACATGTACTCGCCTGCGTTCATGGGGAACTTGAGCGCCCTCGCAGTCTCCCTGAAGAGCATGGTCCTCGATCAGGCGGAGTGCAGGGCCGCCGACGCTTTCGAGGACTTGTGGGCAAAGCTGTCGGCGGTGTCGGCGGCGAAGCAGTCGTGGATGCAGTTGGGGGGGGCCGTTGAGGCTCGGATCGCCGCGGACGTTGGCCTTGGAGCGATCTTGGACGTGCTGTCCGCGACCGTCGCCCTGGAGAAGGCTGTCAACGCAGTTGGCAGCAACAGCGTGGCTGACATCGGGAAGGTGGTTGAGGCACAAAGGGGATTGTCAGCGAGGTGGCGGCGGTAACCTGCGACAGCAGCGACAGGGAGCTCCAGCTAGCGCTGGCCTCGAGCAAGCTGGAGAACATCGGCCAAGGTGTGGACGACGGCACCGACTGGGCGAGGGACCTCTCCGACAAGACAATCGAGGAGGTGAAGGCCGTCGGGAAGACCGACTTCCTCGCGGAGTTCAAAGCGTTGGAGCTGGAGGCGGCCATCGGCACGGTGGAGGGCGCCCTCACCAGTGCCAAGGCCCTCTGCGAGAAGTTCGGGCGGGAGCCGAACGCTGACTTGGTGTCGAGAGCCAACAGAGCGCTGCTCATCGGGAAGAAGACCCGCTGGGAGGGCTTGATCCTGCTCGAGCTCGTGGCGATGGACGCCCAGAGCAACGATTCGGCAGAGCGCGGCACGACTGTTGCGAACATCAGGAAGTTCAAGCGCCTCGCCGAGAAAGATGGAGTATTCAAAAACATGTTGCCGCAGATAGTTGAGGCCGTGAGCTCCGCTGAGAGCAGCAAGAAGAGGAAATCGCGCTGAGGTCAGGGCCGACCAGCAGAGCACAGACAACAGCACTCGGCCTCGCACGCCGTACGCCGCAGGCGGCAGAGCGCAGCAAAAGTCGTGACGCTTCGCGTAGCCCTACCAGCCCATCCAGAACCGATTGCCAGGTGAGTTGGTTAGCCAAGGGTTCCTGGAAGGACGCAGTCGCACAGCCGTTTTGGAGGCGTGCTGGAGGGGTGCAGAAGAGCTGGAACATAAGGCTGGTGACATACTACGTGTTGCCTATGCCACGGCAGTGCCGCTGGTCACAATAGTGAAGTGGGGGAGCTCTAGAAGCGCAGACGGGCGGTGCTTCTGCTGGTGATGGTGTTGGTGTTTTTGCTCCTGGTGCTGGCGGTGCCGCTGCTGGTGCCGTTGCTGATGTTGCTGGCGCTTGTGGTGTTTGTCCTACTGCTGGGATTCCGCCTGGGCTGTTGCTGGTTCTGCTTATGCTGCTGGTGGTGCTGTTGTCAATGCTGGTGTTGTTTCTCTTGTTGCTGCTGGTGGTTCTCCCGCATCGTGGGGCCACCTTGACACCTCGGGTGGATAACGCTCGGGACCGATCCGAAGTCACCTCGAGGGGTTTACCCCTCGAGGCGACCACGGATCAGTTCCGAACTTTACTCCTCGAGGTGACCACGGATCCGCCCTGAACTTTACCACCCGAGGTGACCTCGGATCGGTCCCAAGCGTTGCCCCTCGAGGTGGCCACGGATCGGTCCCGAGCGTTACCCCTCGAAATGACATCGGATCGGTCCCGAGCTTAAAGCTCGGGGCGGATCCGTTGTCACCTCGAGGGGTAAAATTCGGGATCGATCCGCGATCACCTCGAGGGGTAAAACTCGGGACCACTCCGTGGTCACCTCGAGGGGTAAAGCTCGGGACCGATGCGGCTGGTGCTGCTGTTGCTGCTGTTGCTGCTGCTGCTGCTGGTGCGACTGACGGTGTGCGTGTGCTGCTGGCGATGCTGGTGCTGCTGCTGGTGTTATGGCTGGTGGTGGTGGTGCTGGAGCTGATGCTGCTGGTGCTGCTGGTGCTGCTGCTCTGGCTGGTACTGTTTATTATCGTGCTGCTGGTGCTGCTGCTGGTGCTGCTGGTGCTGCTGCTGGTGTTGGTGCTGGTGGTTGTGGTGGTGCTGCGGCTGATGGTGGTTCTGCTGGTGCTGCTGCGGGTGCTGGCGGTGTTGGTGACCAGCAGGCTGCGTAACGACCGCCTAGGAAGCGTTTTTTCGGAGGTCTTTTGGGGCCACCTTGGGGCTCTCTGGGGGTTCTCTTGGGGCCCTCTTGGGGCCATCTTGGGGCTCTGTTGGGGTGGTCTTGGGGCCCTCTTGTGGCTCTGTCTGGGCGTCTGGGCCCCCCTCGTCGGGCCATCTTGGGGGCCACGGCTGAAACAAAAAGAATGCTGCGTTAATTCGGATCGCCCCCCTTGGGAACTCACCGCAACGCCTTGGGGCCCTCTGGTGCCACTTTTCTTAGGACGGTCGTGGGCGCTCTTGGGCCGTCATGGGGCAACCTTGGGCCTCCCTCGGGGCCCTCTGGGGCAAGATTGCTGCCGTCTTGACGCCCCAAGAGCCCATCGGAAACGAGGGAGCGAGAAAACAATCAACATTGGGTTTCCGTAGGTTTCGGAACCCGTTTGGCATTTTTTGTGGGGTCCTTGAATGGCCCGAACGACTGGAATTCCCCTCGGGGTCGTATCGAAGCTTCTTGGATGCGGGTCGGAAGCCACCTTGAGCCAGCTTGAGTTATCGTGGCCATCTTGGGTGCCATCTTGGGTTTCTAGGGCTCTCTGGGAGCCATCTTGGGCCATCTTGGGCGCTCTGATGGGTCGATCCCCCCCCCCCCCCTCCCAGGCCCATGGGAGGGGGCAGGGGGATTGGTGCACCCCTCCCCTGAGCAGGGGAAGGAGGTGTTGGCAGAGAGAACGCGCAACTCGCTAAACCACCTACGCCCAAAGGGCTGGTGGGGTGATCCTGGCGAAGGGCCCGCCCAACCATGTGCAGTTGTGAATACTGTAGTTGCGCCTACCACCTGCGGCGGCGAAGCTCTTTGTGGGACCTCGACACGTTTGAGGGGCGTGCCGACATGGGCGGCGGTGCCACGCGACCTTCACATTGGGGCCTTAGGTGCCCCCCCCCCCCTGGTGCCACAAAACGTGTGAGGGGTGTGCCGACATGGCGCGGCTGTGCCATGAGAGCTTCTCCATTGGGGCCTTAGGCGGAGCTCCCTATGAGGCCACGAAGCGTGTAAGGGGTGTGCCGAAATGGGGCGGCGGCGCATGCGAATTTTCTATTGGGACATTCGGTGGGGTTCACCACGGTGCCACGAAACCTATGAGGGTTGTGCCAAAATGGGCGCTGGTGCCACGCGATCTTTCCCACTGAGGCCTTAAGCGGGGCTCCCATGGGGCCACGAAGCGTGCGAGGGGAGTGCCGAAATAGCGCGGCGGTGCCATGCGAACTTCCCCACTGATGCCTTCGGCGGGGTTCCCTATGGGGCAGCGCAACGTGTGAGGGGTATGCCGAAATGGGGCGGCGGTGCCATGCGAACTTCCCCACTGAAGCCTTAGGCAACGCTCCCCATGGGGCCGCGAAACGTGCGCGGGGAGTGCCGTAATTGATGGCGGTGTCATGCGAATTTTCCCGCTGAGGCCTTCGGTGGAGCTCCCCATGGGGCCACGAAGCGTCGGAGGTGTGCGCCGAACTTGAGCGGCAATGCCATCCAAACTTTTCATTTGGGCCTTTGGCGGGGCTCCCCATGGGGCCGCGGAACGTGTGAGGTGTGCGCCGAAATTGGGTGGCGGTGCCATGCGAACTTTCCCACTGATGCCTTAGGTGGAGCTCTCAATGGGGTCGCGAAACGCGTGGGGTGCGTGCCGAAATGAGGCGGCGGCGCCACGCAAACTTCCCCACTGAAGCCGAAGGTCGGGTTCCCAAGGGGCCGCGGAACGTGTGCGGGGTGTGCCGAAGTGGGGCGGCGGTGCCATGTTAGCTTTCCCACTGGGGCCTTAAGCAGAGCTCACCATGGGGCCGCGAAACGTCTGAGTGGTGCGCCGAAACAGATACATGCGGAGGGCAGGGGCGGGGATGGGAGGAGCGAGGGAGGGGGGAGGGGGGGGGGGAGGGCGAAGTGAGCGCGGAACGCGGGACGCTGTCTCTGCAAAACGAGGACCCAACACCGCGAGATGGTTGAGAATGAAGGGCACCTTGCGCCGCCGCTTCCGTGGCTGCATTTTCCAACCCCGCTCCCCCATCCCCCCTCGCCCTTTCTCTCTTCGCCCTCCCCCTCTATCCTGCGTCCAATCCCCCTCCTTCTCCCTCCCCCCCCCAATCCCCCCCGCGCATCATGCCCCAATCCCTCAGCCACCCCCTCCTGGAAGGAAGGGGTGGGGCTGAGGAAAAACAGGGTGGATGGGGGAAGGGGGGGGGAGAGCGAGGGATGAGGAAGGGGGGGATGATGAGGCATCTATGGCGACGTGCAGGCCAGGCGGCCAGGCGGCGGCGGCAGCCAGGCGGCGGCCGAGCCGCGGGGCCCTCCCCGTTCCTTCCCTCTCCCCCGCGCCCTTCCTTCCACCCCGCCCACCCTTCATTTTCAAGCAATGTCCTTTCTACTTCCCTCCCTCCTCTGTCTCTGCTGCGTCTCCTCTTCTTCCCCCCCTTCCGCTTCCCTTTCACTTCCCCTCTTCCGTTTTCCGCCCCCCGTGTCTCCTCCCACTTTCTCTTCTTGTGCCCCCTGTCCTCGGTCTCCTCCTCTTGCCCCCTGCCGCCCAGTTTGCTCCCTTGCGAATTCCGCCCCCCCTCCCCCTCCAAGTCAGTTGCTAGTTTGGCCCAAACCCTCGGCGTGTTTTTTTGGGGGCTGGAGCGGCATGACCTCGCCGCGCCGCGGCGGGGCCTCGATCCTCCGTAGTGGTAGCGGAGCCTCGCCGTTGTGCGCCGCGGCGGCGTCGTCTCGCTGCGTGGCCGCGGCGCGTTTGTTTCGTGGCGCGCTCGCGGATCGGTGATCGGTCCCCTGCGTATTTTCCGATAGTTTTGTAAGTAATATTTTTGTAGTTCTTGTTTGTACATCTTGCATACATTTTGCTTAGTTTCGAGGGTTTCTCCTGGGGAGGGTATTGTCGCGGCCGCTGAAGTCACAACGTTAGTGGAGTCCCCGTTAGAGGGGCGCTGATTCGATCTTCTCAACTCGCCAACGAAGCCCCTCGCCCGCTCACCCTTGCACATCCGCAGCCGCGGGGGCAGCGTATCCACGTCAGCCGCCTCCGGAGGTCCCGAGAGGTCGGTTCCCCCTAGTCGTGGCTCTGGTCTTGCAAGGTGGGCCGAGGGAGTTCGTAGAGTTAAGTCGGGCATGTCCCTCTACAGGAGGAAAATTCCCAAATAGTCAAACAACACATCGTCTGGGTGCGATGTTCTGAGTATGTGTGTTCACTATGTTGGGGCATGTTTCTAGTATTGTTGTGCGTTCGCCCAAAATCCGCCTGTAGGGGGACATGCCCGACCTAACGCCCGTTGGGCAGAGGGAGGTCGTAGAGGCAGCCCCCTCGTGCACCACGGCAGTGCCGGCTGGAAGGAGACGGGCCGCGTCGTAGGCCGACGTTCCATCGATCATCTCCATCGTCGTCGTCATCAGCATCATCATCATCATCATCATCATCATCATCATCATATCATCAGCATCATCAGCAGCATCATCATCAATGTCCATCGTCATCATGATCATGATCATGATAATGATAATCATCATCATCACTATCATCACTATCATCATCATCATCATCATCATCATCATCATCATCATCCTTTCCCTATTTCTCCGCCTCCTCGGCCTCCGCGTGCCGAACCCGCAGAAACCCCAGTGAATTCTCAGCGCTTGCAAACAAATCACTGCCTCGCAACGACGGCCGTGTCGACGGCGGCGCTGCGGCGACGACGACATGCACGCCGGCGGCGACGGCGGCTGCGACGGCGGCTCGCGGCGGCTTCGCGCGCTGGCGCGTTGGAGGTCGAGGCCAGGCTCGGGGCTCACGCTCAGGAGCCAACGCTCGGGCGGGGCCAGGCTCCGAGCGCGCGCTGCCGCGTGCAGCCCGCCGCTGCTGCCCCTCCTCCTCCTCCTCCTCCGCCTCCTCCTCCTCCCCCTCCTCCTCCTCCTCCTCCCCCTCCTCCTCCTCCTCCTCCTCCTCCCCCCTCCTCCTCCGCCTCATCCTCCTCCGCGCGCGGCCTTCTGCCGCAGCGGCCGCTGCTCCTCCTCCGTGCAGCGGGGGGCATCGGCACACTACCGCCACCGTGCCTGGCCAGGGGCAGGGTCCAGGCGCGGCGGTGGTGGGCGCGGCCTCGCCGCGCGCGTCGCTCCTGGCCGTGCACCATCTTTTAGGCCTCCCAAGCGGGGTTCGAGCAGATGGAGTCGGAGGATTGCGCCGCATCGCCGATGCATCGCCGATGCGGCTCGACGTGGAGCACGATCTTCTCCGCGCTGGCGCTGCCGTTGCACCGTCGGCCGTCGCCGACGTTCTGGTGACGCACCGACGATGCGTCGACGATGCGGCGCGATCCTCCGACCCCATCCAGTCTGACCCCGTCTGGGAGGTCTCCATTTGTGGTGTACAGGTGCCTTCTGCGTACGAATCCAAAGTCCTCTTCACCTTTGTCATCCTGCTTATCCACGTCTCCCATTGGCTATCTCAAGGCTGAATAGTCCACACGCACCAACTCCATGTTTTTCTCCTCTTTTACGTTTCATTTTGCTGGTTATCATCCTTCCTCTCTTATGGTTATGATTCCTTCGCTCGACCGCCCTCTCCTGCGTTGCTTCCGTTAGGCCCTCCCCTTCGCTTTGGGCATCCGTCCTGTTCGACCCCCCGAAGGAGGAGGGAAGCAAGCTAGAGAGCGAGGGAGGAGGAAAAGGAGGAGTAGGAGGACGAGGAGAGAAGGAAGAGCAGCACCAGCAGGAGCCTGGCCTGCGCACTCGAGAACGCGCACGCCGACAGACAAAAAAAACGACAGTGTCAGACAGATCAGGGTGGTGGGCAGGCATGCCTCGGCGGCGAGCGAGAAGGGGACGTGAGAAGGAGAAAGCCTTCTCAGAAGGCTCAGAAGCCCTCGCGCCTTCAGAAGTTCCCAAAGCCTTCCCCGAAGACAGAGGAACCTTCTCAGAAGCGCGGCGGGGCTTCTCAGGAGCGTTCGCGCCTTCTGAGAAAGGTTCCCCTGTCTTCGGGGAAGGCTTAGGACACTTCTGGGAAGGCTGGGGGACTCCCGAGCCTACTGACACGCGGCCCGCCCCCTTCTCACTTCCTCCTCCTCCTCCTCCTCCTCCTCCTCCTCCTCCTCCTCCCCCTCCTCCTTCCCCCCTTCGCTCGCCACCGAGCTACGGGTGGTGGGCAGGCGTGCGAGGCAGGCGCAGCCCGCCTCCTGCTGCGGTCTCGCCGCGCCATGCGCCCGCCGGCCCCACGGGCTCCCGGGACGGCCACGGCGCAGCGCCTGCTTTCGGAGCCCCACCGCGCTCGATGGTGCGCGCGACGGCGGCCTGGCTCCTCGTCCTTGGCATCGCTCGGACGTGTGTATTGTCCTCGGCGAGAGCCGTCGAGGACCATGCTGGGTCGTCTTGCGAAACAGCATGCACACGCGAAGCCGAAGCATGCACGAGGAATTGACGGCTGGGCGGTAGCGAGCCTCCAGGACGAGGCACGGCTAGCCTGTTGAGTCACCTCCACCTTGCGGCGCAGTGTGCCCCAGCCGTCTGCACGTTTTGCACCACAGCTGGCCGTTCATTAGCATGCAGTGGTTGCTCCAGGGCTCGAGCTGAACGGTGTTTTGGCGATGTCGTGGACCGTTTCCGTTTTGACTTCGTTTCGCAACCAAGGCAGAACGAAGGCAGAACGAAGGCAACACGCAAACTTAACGAAAACGAGAAATACTGGTGATCGTGTTCGTATTCATTGTTTTGCCGATCGGCGCGGGTCCTCGCACCCCCTCGCCCCCATGGAGTAGATCTTGCCTGTTTCAAGCAGGTGGAGTCTCCACCACAGGACGCACTGTTGCAAACAGTTGCATTAAGAAGAGGCCTGGAGCCAGACTTCCGCCCAATGTCGAAACGCCGAATCAGAAGCCGTTCACCTGTTCAGCTCGAGCCCTGGATTGCTCGGCTCGCTGTTCTGTCCAGGAACGTGCGGTTTCGCTATCGGGGGCCTGTCGCCGATCTATCGGCTCGGCAAATCATCGCCGAGTGGAGGTCGATGTTCCCCCCCCCTCTGAGCCAATCCCCCCAACTGTTGACCTGCATGCCGGATTAGGAGGAGAGACGGAGCGGAAGAGGGGCGCGCGCTACGGAGGAGGAGGAGGAGGGCTGCGTCGGACCGGCGGTTCAGCCAACAACCAACAAACAACAGGGGGGAGGAGCAGCAGCGTCGTCGTGGTCGTGGTCGTGGTTGTGGTCGTCGGCGTCGGCGTCGGCGTCGGCGTCGTCGTCGTCGGCGTCGGCGTTGGCGTCCGCGTCGTCGTCAGCGTCGTCGTCGTCACCACGACGGAGGCCGCCGACGGCGACCCCGCGGACCCCTTCTCGCCGCCCGACGACGCGGCCGAGCCCGCCCCCGCGGTGCCACCGAGGCCCGCCGAGGTGGCATGCCCCGTCACGCGCGCGCGCGAACCGCCGCCTCGTCGCCGTCGTCGTTGTCGCCGCCGCCGCCGCCGTCGCCGTTTCGGCCGCCGTCGCAGCCGCCGAGGCGGCATGCCCCGTGCCGCGCGCGCGAGCCGCGGCGTCGCCGCAATTGTCGCCGTCGTCGTCGTTGTCGTCGTCGTCGGCTTTGTCGTCGTCGTCGTCCGTCGTCGTCGTCGGTCGTCGCCGTCGCCGCCGCCGTCGCCGCCGCCGCCACCGTCAGCACCCTTTCGGCCGCCGTCGTCGTTGTCGTCTTCGCCGTCGCTGTCGCTGCCGTTGGCGCCGCCGCCGCCGTCGCCGACGCGTTTGTGCATTTGGGGGGTGCCCTCGTTATCGACGGCCAGATCCGCCGTCGGAATCCTTGCCAGGACGCATTCCGAGAGAGGCCGAGGGGGCGATGGTAAGGGGCCAGGGGTGAGGAGGAGGAGGAGGAGGAGGAGGAGGAGGAGGAGGAGGAGAAGGAACAAGAAAAAAGGAGGAGGAGGAGGAGGAGGAGGAAGAGCAGGAGGAGCAGGGGAGCGCGTCGATCTCCCACTGCAGCCTCGGCCACTCGAAGCCCTCACCCAGCCCCCTCTGCTGCGGATGGTCCCAGCTCCCTCCACCTTTCCACCAAGGGTGTCCACGTTTCGGCCGGCTCGGCTTGGCTGCGCCGTAGTAGGTTGCGTTCGGTCGGCCTGGTTCGGCCGGCTGTTGCGCCGCTGCTGAGTCGCCGCGCCAATCCAGGCCGCGTTTGAGGCTTGTCGGTTCTGTCAGCTTTCGTCGTCCGACGCCGGCGTCGTCGCCGCCAGGGCCGCCGCCAGGGCCGCCGCCAGGGCCGCCGCCGACGTTTTGTTTTATCGTCGTCCTCGTCCTCGGCCTCGTCGGCCTCGTCGTCCTCGTCGTCGTCGTCGTCGTCCGTCGTCATCGTCGTCGTCTTCCTCGCTTCTTGCTCGGTCAGCTTCCGCTTGGATGTCGCCGTGCACGTTCTTGTCCGTTCCCTCCGCCACGCGTCGCGGCACGCCGCAGGTGCTCGGCAGCGCCCCGCCGCCCGCGCCGCAGGAGTGGGGCGGCGCCGCGGCCGCACCTCCGCCGCCGCAGGCCTTGAGCAGGAGGAGGAGGAGTGTGGAATTGTGAGCTGTTTGAGCTTAATCATCTCTTGTACTGTTTGTATAGTTACTTGTCATACACGTTTATGTTCGCACGTGTGCGCGCATCCGCTGCTGTTTTGACCCAGGCACCTTTCGACACCATGTCTCTCATGAGAGAAAGCATCCCTCGTTTTCGCCACTGGCCGTCTTTGACGCGTCAGTGGTAGCGGAGCGGTCGGTCTTCCCCGGCCGTCTCCAGAGACCGCCGCCATGCCGGCGGACGGAGTTAAGGGAGAGTTTCAGGGAGATCGAGATGCCAGCAGTGGCGATCGAGATAAGGATGAGTTTCAGGGAGAACAGGGCCAGAGAGGCCTCGAGGTTCCAGGTGGCGCGCTCCAGAGCGCGACTGGCAGCAGCAGCAGTTTCACATCGGCGCAGGCGCTCGAGCTGAGGAGCATCCTGCGCGAAGAGACCAAGGCGGCCCTGGCCGTCTCGGGTACCGCGGGCCACACGTCGGAAGGTGCGGCTCAACTAGCCCGCGACTCAGCATCCGGATCCGACCCGTGGGAGGAGCTCGGCAACGATCCCTGGCGAGAAGGATCCAGACGAGGCGTCGGAGAGAATGAGGGAGCGCGATGGGCAGGCAGAGGCTGGTGGTCAGCCTCAGCCGACGCGCCGAGGGATTCTCAGGACGACGCGGACTTGGGCCAGAAGAAGTGGGGCGCCAGAGACTGGCGCAGCAGCAGCAGCAGTGCATGGCGACAGCCCCCAGAGGACTGGTCGTCTTCGTGGTGGGAGAAGCCCGACCTGAGCGACCCCGACGCATGGTTGGGATGGAGCGAGTACCGCCTGTGGCGCCGGGGCATACGACGCTGGCTGGCCGGGACAGGTGTCTCCGTCGGCCGTCGGGCAGACAAGATCCTGAAGGTGCTGGACCTCGACTTGCGCAAGAAGTTCGAGGACCTGTCGGACGACATCCTCGTCTCCGAGGCCGGCCCGCAGGCGATCCTCGATCGCTTGGACGTGCTCAGCGGCCAGAGGCAGGACGACGAGATGAGAAGAGCAGGCCGCGAGTGCTTGTTCGGGTTTCAACGTCGGCAAGGAGAGACGCTGAGCGTCTACGCGGCCAGGATGGACCAGGTGTTCGACCGCCTCTCTTCGCAGGGGCTCGAGTTGAACAGCAAGTGGCGACACCTGTTCATTGAGGAAGGAGTCGGTCTGGACGACTCACAGAAGCAGATGCTCAAGATCCTCAGTAAGAATTCAGGAGAGTACCAGGATCTGCTTCACGCCATTCGAGAGATGGACATGCAGCGGAATGAGAGCCTGACCCAGAGCAAGAAGACGTTCGCGGAGTTCGAGCAGACGTCGCAGCCCACGTTCTATGACGACGAGGACGCCAGCAGCGTCTCGTCCATGGATTCGAGTCAGGAGCAGACAGTGCTGGCGACGCTGGACAAAGCAGACCTCTCGGAGCTGGAAGTTCCCACCATTTTGGCAGAGCTCGCTTCCGAGAGGCGCAAGACGTGGAAGGAGAACAAGGACTTCAAGAGGCGGCTGAAGGTAGACCGGAAGTACTTCCCGACGCCGCCTCCCGCTCACCCAGGAGCCCGTCCTCAGCGGCCACATCGTGGACAGGGCGGACAGTATCGACCTCGCAAGGCGAGGTTATCCCCTCAGCAGTTGATGAAGGTCACGAAGTGCCACAAGTGCCATCAGAAGGGCCACTGGGCCAAGGAGTGCCCGAACCCTCCAGCACCAGGTCCACCAGGGACGCCGCTGAAGCAGGGTTTCTTTGTGCTGACGAACGGCGGGTCCTCCTCGTCTGGTCTGGTGCTGATGACGACGTTCTATCAGAACCCCTTGGAGGCACTGATCGAGAAGGCTCGGACATCGGTCGTCTCCACCTCCCCATCCTCTGAGCTGGCTCCGCAGGTTTTTCTGACCACACCCGGGGGGGAGATCATTGTAGATACAGCGGCGGGCCAAGGGCTCATAGGCCCTGTGCCCCTCTCGAAGCTGGACGAGAGGCTCGCCGCGCTCGGTTTTCGGATCCCCCGGGTGCCCAGTGCCAACAAACATGCCCAGGGAGTGGGAGGCCGCACCACTGTTTTGACCGGTCTCCTGGTCCCTACTGGGATAGAGGGCCGTCTCGGAGTGATGGAACTCGACGCGATCAGCGAAGAAGTTCCAGCTTTGATGCCAATCGGCATGCAGGAGGCCTTAGGAGCTGTCATCGACCTTCCAGAAGAGAAGGTCACCTTCAAGAATTTGGTCACAACGACGCCTTTGAAGGCACTTCCGTCGGGACACCGGACCATCCGGATTGACAAGTTAGGCTCTCCCGACGATTTTCACGTTCCAGAGTCGGTGTCGAGCAGGTTCGGTGTCTCGAAGTCTGATTTTGTGCTGCAGCCTGTTTCGCAGTATAAGGCGTCGACGAGAGACGGCGGTGACAGTGCCGTTTTGGCGACGTCGAACGACCAGTCGGGGGAGCACGGCGAGGGTAGATCGAGGGTCCCGGGTCCAAGCCAAGGGTCCAGGGATCCAGTCCAAGATCGGTGCGAGTCGTCCCCTCACGAGTTGGTCGAGATTTCAGCCTGTTCAGCACTTCCAGCAGATGCCGTACCTTGTCCAGACACGGTTCCAGCCTTCCCAGCGTGGATATCAGCTCCAGCTCCGGCTTATCCAGCATCAGTACCGTACGATATAACAGGCCGTGGGGAGCAAAAGGGGTCAAAAAGGGAAACTCTCGTTAGCAACGGTCCGGACGCAGCTCGGAAAAATACGCCAGAGCGTTCCAACGCGTCAAACGTTCCTCAAAACCACTGCGCCTCCGCAGCGTCCCGGTCCGTTTCGTTTTGCTCAAGCCTCCAACCCGTCACGGTTTGTGATTCCCTTCAGAGTTCCACTCAGAGCTTACTGGGAGATATCGCGCGTGGGCGGCATGACAGACCAACACCATGTCCTGACCGGCCGAGATGTGCCGGAAGGAATGCAGATGAAGCACCTCCGCTGGGTCCACATGGTCGCGCAGAGCCTCAGGATAGAGGAGGCGCTCAGCCTGTCGCTACTCGACCTGAACCGCACCGGGCGACTCTGGCCGGCGGCCTTCACTCGCAAGCAGCGCCAGTTAGTTCACGATCCAGATGCTACAGTGTCGGCGCGATCCGCTGAGGCGCAGAGTCGGTGCCAACGCGAGTGCGACCTGGATCAAGTGCATCGACTGCGACCTGAGGCTGGCCTACTGGAGTCGACCAAAGATCGAGGTGCAGCCCCACCTCCTGGCGATCAAGGACGACCCGAACCAGAGCAGCGCGGCGATGCCGAACATCCGCCGCTACAACAAGGGCCAGGACGACAGGAAGGAGCTCCTGATCAAGCTGATCAAGACCGACACCTCCAAGAGTCCGGCCGCGGTGAAGGTGCTGGTCCACTCGGAGGCCACGTCGAGGCCTTCATGCGTACCGATGCAGGTGGACGAGCTGGCACAGGCAGAGCGGAAGAGCCGACCGAGGACATCGGAGAGTACCCTTGCAAAGGATATGAAGGAGCTGAAGGGCGCAATTCTGCAGCAGAACGAGTACATCCAACAGCACAGCCAGGCTCTGCAGTTCCTCATGCAGCCCCACCTGGCCCAGATCCAGCAGTGCCAGGAGGCAGCGGTCACGACGGCGATTCCGGGCACGCCGCGCCAGGCCGACAAGTGGGAGGTGATCGGTCAGCCAGTCTCCCAGTCGCCGGCGCCGGAGATGCCGATCGCAGCGGAGAAGGAGTCCTAGGAGGGCTCGGCGGCTGCTGGGCTGGCATCCTTGTCGCTGAGAAGGGCACGTGCTGTGGCATGAGCCGGTTCGTGAGTGAGGTTGGTTGTGGATCTCTCTACCTCCAGCAGGCAGTTTCCCTGCTGAATGGGGGGGCGTCCGAGCTATTCTACTTCCCAATGTGCAAGGAGGAGATATGGAAGAAACATCGGGACATGGGGCACTCTTGGATTCTTCTTGGCAAACAGGACGACCGGTTGCAGGCGCTCCCCAGCTCGGGAGATCCCTTGAGCTCTTTTCCTGTCGAGGGCGAGTGCCATTTAGTTGTCCGTCACGACGGCTGGGCCTCCGCCATCCAGGAGGCAGAGTTTAACGATGACTACGAGACGACAATTTCGAAGCGACAACGCCGAGAAATGGAGAAAAGCCTCATGACTCTCCTTGCGGCCGAGCCAGGAAAGAGCAGCGGAGGACAACAGGAGCCACCAGGACACCGAGCACCTCCAGATGCTGGAGATCGGGGAATCTCCGCCCGTGCATGTCCGCCCGATTCGAGCGCTCCTTCAACCTCTGCTGCTTCTGCCTCGTTACAGGACTCGACTCCTCTCCTTCCTTCCCTTCTCTCCCGTCGTGAGGTCGGTCGTCGGAGGAAGGAGGGAATGTCTCGAGGAGTGATGGAGGTCTTCTCTCCGCCAAGGATATGCCCAGTGGCGCGCCAGCTGGGCGTTGCCGATCAAGGAAGTCTGGACCTTTCCACGGGCTGGGATTTTAGACGATTCAGGGACCGTCTTCTGGCCCGCGAGCTCGTCCGTTCGAGGAGACCCGGGGTCCTTTTCCTGGAACCGCCCTGTCGAGTTTTCAGCGTGGCTTTCGAGATTTCCAAAAATGTGATGGATCCCGCTGTGCGAGCTCGGGCGGTAGTCGAGGGCATGATGTTGCTCCGTTTCGCGGTGGAGCTGGCCGAGCTCCAAGTGTCATATGGAGGGGTCTTTGTTCTGGAACATCCCGAGGGGGCGTCTAGTTGGAAGTCGGCTCCCATGAAAAGGCTTCGGTCTCTTCCGGGGGTCGAGTCGATTGTTTTAGACACGTGCCGCTCCGGACTGTGCGTTGACAGCAGTGGCGAGCTTTCCAAGAAGCCGACCCGCATCATCAGTAACGACTCGGAGGTTGTGGCCTCTCTCTCGAGTTTTCGGCGCATGGGAGACCACCCTCATCAGGTCCTTCAAGGTTCGGCTCAGACTTCCAAGGCGCAGGTCTACCCCCCCAACCTCGTGCGTCACCTGGCCACTGTTACCAGAGGGGTGCTGGACAGGAGAGCCAGGATGGCTCGGACCTCGGACGTGATCGGATGGATCCGCAAGGAGCTTCCGTGTCGGGTTGAACCCAGTTTCACCCTTGTTCCTGATGTGTTGTGGTCTTGCTTTCCTTCCGTGGTTGACCCAGAGGGGGCTTTGGACGAGGGTCCCGACGAGGACGAGGCGACCCCAGGTCTCGATTCATCCGTCGGGCTCGGACGTTCGGATTCTCCCCCCCTGGAAATCGATGCCAGGTTGCGCAACATGATACAGAAGGTTCATGTTAATCTCGGACACCCCGCTCGCCCCCTGTTTCTGCAGATTCTCCGAGGCGCACATGCGAGGCCAGAGGTTTTACAGTGCGTGAGGAGAGAGTTTGCCTGTCCTGACTGCGAATCACACCCACGCCCCGCCCACCGGAGATATGTGGCGATGCCCCGCGCGTACCAGTTTAACCGGGTCATTGCGGTAGACACTTTCCACATTAAGTTCGGTGAGACTCTGGTGACCTTCCTCAATATGATCTGCCACGGCACGAATTACCAAGTGGTGGCCAGATATGAGGGAGGGGCTCGAGAAGCGTGGGAGTGTTTCGCGTCGTCGTGGGCGCGTTACTTTGGCCCTCCGGAGCTCTTGATCTCAGACGGAGGACCCGAATTCCAGGGCGAGTTCTCTCGGGGAGCTGAGCAGCGCGGCACCTTTCAGCACATCACCAGTGCCGAGGCTCCGTGGGAGAACGGCCGATGTGAGAGACACGGCGGATGGGCCAAGGACTTGGCTCTCAGAGGTTCCGAGGGGGCCCCGGTGTCCAACGAGCGTGAGCTCGAGCTGCTGGTCTACGAAATCACAGCAGCCAAGAATTCCTACCTCCACCGTGGAGGGTTCTCTCCGAACCAGTTAGTGTTCGGCAAGAACCCCAGGGTTCCCCAGGACCTTCTTTCAGACGATCCGGTCAATCAAGTAGGACTGGACGACGTGGCCGAGGGGGTTTGGGATCAGGACACCGCGGCCGCGGATTTTGCCCGGGCCATGGCCATCAGGAAGCGTGCCCGGGCCCTGCTGTTCGAGGGCAGCTGCCGGGAGAAGGTTCACTCGGCTGCTCGAGTTCCCAGGCATCGGGATCAAAAGTACGCTCCAGGCGACTGGGTGTATGTTTGGAGACGGGCCCCAGCTTTGCAACATAAGAAAACCTACGCCCTGCAGAGGGACAGGTGGTGCGGCCCGGGCCTTGTCGTTTTCCAGTACGGGAATTCCGTTTGGGTCTCTATGAGATCTCGTCTTTGGAAATGTGCCACGGAGCAGCTTCGACATGCGCCCGGCCCAGAGGCCCGCGGAGCCGAAATGCTTCAGGACACGGCCCTCCAGGAGCTGGTTCGTCAGGTCCAGTCCGGGTCCCAGAGGGCCGGGGTCGACGTGTCCAGGGAAGGACCTCCACCGGACGAGGAGAGGCACGGCCCGGTTGTGAATGATCGGGAAGGGATTCAACCTCCGCTCCCTCCGCCTCCTGCGGCCCCGGATCCTGGCCAGTTGCCCCCCGCCCGTCGGACGGCGGGCGAGCCAGGTGCTGAGGTGTCTCCGCCCGCTGTGCCTTCACCCGCGGTGCCGGCTCCTGCGGCTTCCTCGGGCGGGAGAGAGGATCACTCGATGTCTCGCGGGGTCTCCTCTCGCACGGATCTTCCATCCGACAGGTTGTCCGAGGGAGATAACGAGTCGGCCGGCGAGGTCAGCGTTGGCAGCAAACGTAGAGGTCCCGAGCTTGCCCAGTCTAGTGCCGACGGGAGCATGCCAGGCATCTCCGAAGAGCTCTCGGCCCCACTCGGCTCTGCCTCCGCTTCCCCGGATCCCAGTTCGGTCGGCCCCGGGGCCCAGTTGCGCCCCCCCTCGGAGATTCGCCCAGGGACGAACCGAGAGGGAGGGGAACAGCCCGGCCCAGCTCGGCTGAGGGAGCTCGCTCTGATCCAGGCCAACCGCGTTCGGGACATGGGCGCTCGAGCGTGGGATCGCCCCCTTTTGTCCCGGGAGCAGTTTGACGCGGAGGTTAGGTCCAGGCCCGTCGACCTGGCCAGGTACGGAGATCGTCTTAACAGGTTGCCCCGTCCGATAGAGGATCTCCAGAGGGGAGACAGTTCAGTTCGAGGTAGGATAGCTGATTGGGAGTCGCTCAGGAGAAACTCGAGGAGCCCACCTCGGGGGGCCAGACAGGAGTCGGATTCCGATCAGATGGACACTGCCGCCACTCTTCTCTCTCTCAGCACTGATCAGGCCGGACAGTACTTTGCCTCGGTCTGCGAGGGCTTAACAGAACAAGGTTGGTCTGGCGACTGGACCAATTTCGTGAACGGCAACGCCGACGTGGAGTTGGTTCCGGGGGAGTCTGGATCGTCATCCGAGGGGACTCTCTCTCTTGCCACGTCCAGAGGAGGCGAGATCTCCGTTTCCAAGCTCGATGCCGAGGGTAGACAGGCCTTCCGAGATTCGGACGCCAAGGAGTGGTCCAATATCCTGGGGACGGGGGCGGTGCAGGTTCATCCTCCTGCGGAGGGAAAGTGTCTCAGGGCCCTGTATCCCAATCGAGTGGTCTCGTCCAGGATGGTCAGGAGGTGGAAACCTCAGGAGGGCTGCTACAGCAAGCCACTGGCCAAGAGCCGGTGGTGTGTGCGAGGCCACGAGGACGAGGACACTCAGGAGTTGAGAGTTTACGCCCCGACACCTCAGATGGAGTCTTTGATGCTGTTTCTCACGACGGCCCTCGCCCTGGGGATGACCTTGACCATCGGGGATCTCAAGAATGCCTTCTGTCAGTCGGATCCTCTTCGGAGGAGCCGCGGGAGGGCGTTCGTAGAGCCCTGCGAGGGTCTAGGCCTTGACGCTGGCAGTTTGATCGAATTGATTGCTCCAGTCTACGGACTGGACGACGCTCCATTGGCCCTCCACCGTACGACTGTTCGTTTCTTCGAATCCTTGGGGTACGTTCGTTCGAAGTTGGAGCCATGTTGGATGGTCCGCAGGGGTCCTAAGGGTCCGGGCGCCATGGTTTTGATCGAGGTGGACGACTGGGCCATCGGTTTAGTGGAAAGAGTTCGTGAGGAACAGATTAAGGCGTTTACCGATCGGTTCGTTTTCGGAAAGCTTAGGCCTGTGGACTCTGAGGGGGTGGAGTATATTGGGAGGCGGGTTCGACGGCTACATGACCGCATTCTAGTTGATCAACAGAAATACATCCTCGAGATCTTCAGCGCCTCTATATATCCCGGGATCGACGAGGTAGGCACGATCAGCCCTTGTTGGGCCGCGAGAAAATCGAGTTCAGGTCGCTCATTTACCGACTCAATTGGGTCGGCCGAGAGACTCGGGCAGAGGCTTGCGGCACCGCGTCCATCCTGGCTTCTCGAGTGGAGTCTCCGACGGTGGGCGACGCTCTGCTGGCCAACAAGATGGTAGATCATCTTCGGCAGACAGCAGCTATCCCCATAACTATTTGGAAATTCCGCCCAGACGACCTAATCTTTGCCACTTCCTCGGACGCCGGAGGGGTTGCCACCAACGACTCCGATAAGGCCCAGCTAGCTTGGCAGGTATACGCAGCAGATCGTTCTTTGTCCACCGGATCCAGAGCACGAGTGTCTCCTCTAGCTTGGCGGTCCCATCGTGCTAAGCGAGCTGTCCCCTCTACCTTGGCTGGCGAGGTTCAATCTCTTTCCGGGGCTCTGGCAGAGGCTGAGTGGT